AAGCACTCAGAGATTTCATAACCACCAGGCCTGCTTTACAAGAGCTTCTGAAAGAACCACTACAAATAGAAAGGAACAACCAGTATCAGCCTTTCTAAAAAATACCAAAAAATAAAGAACATCAACATAATTAAGAAATTGCATCAACTAATGGGCAAAACAGCCAGCCAACATTAAATAACAGTATCAAACTCACATATACTGTTATTAATTCTAAATTTAAATTGACTAAATCCCCCAATCCAAAGACACAGACAGGTAAAAAAAAGCCAAGCTACATCCAGATCCATCTCATATGTAAGGATACACAAAGACTCAAAACAAAGGGATGGAGAAAAATTTACCAACCAAATAGAGAGCAAAAATAAATAAATAGAAAGCAAGAGTTGCAATTTTTGCTGATAAAATACACATTAAAGCAACAAAGATCAAAAGAAGCAAAGAAGGACATTACATAATGATAAAAGGATCAATGCAACAAGAAGAGCTAAAGATCCTAAATATATATGCACTCAATACAGGAATACCCAGATATATAAGACTTATAAAGAGACTTGGGCTCCCACACAATAATAGTGGGAGACTTCAACATCAATATTAGACAGATCAATGAGACAGAAAGTTAACATCGATATTCAGGACTTGAACTCAGATCCGGAACAAATAGGCTTAATTAACATTTATAGAATTCTCCACTTAAATACACAAAATATACACTCTTATCAGTACTACATCACACCTATTTACAGGTTTAAATGAAATATCGGTTGGCTGCTTGTTAATTATTTTCTTCCCTCATTTTTTTTTTTTAATGTCTCTATTATTAAACACAATTGCAGGCATACCCATTTTTAGACTGCATTCTAGCCTGGGCAATAAAGCAACACCCCTGTTCTCTCTCCCTCTTCCTCTTCCTCTTTCTTCCTTTCCTTCATTCTTTTTTTTTATTCTTTCTCTTTCTTTCTTTCTTTCTTCCTCTAAAAAAAAAAAAAGAGAGAATACATGGACACAAGGAGGGGAGCATAACCCACTGGGGTCTGTTTGGGGGGACTAGTGGAAGGGCAGCCGGGGGTAGCGAGTTGGGGAGGGATAACCTAGGGAGCAATGCAGATATAGGTGACAGGGATGGAGGCAGCAAACCACATTGCCATGTATGTACCTATGCAACAATTGTGCATGTTTTGCACATGTACCCCAGAACCTAAAGTGCAATAAAATATATATATACAAAAGAAACAGAGAAATTAAAGGTGGAAAGCATGAAGGACGAGGAGAACGGATCAAAGACATAGCCAGAATCAAGTTATTCGAGAGTAAAATGGGGCCGGTGTGGTGGCTCAACACCTGTAAATCCCTGCACTTTGGGAGGCTGAGACGGAAGGACTGCTTGAACCCAGGAGTTTAGGACCAACCTGATCAACAAATGTTGACTCCATCTCTGCAAAAAATAAGAAATTAGCCAGGAGTGGTGATGCCCACATGTATTCCCAGCTGCTCAGGAGGCTCAGGTGGGAGGACCACTTGCGCCCAGGTGATCAAGACTGCAGTGAGCCATGATCACACCATTACGCTAGAGTCTGGGTTAACAGAGTGAGACTCTGTCTACAAACAAAAACAAACAAGTAAAATGGATAACAAGCACAGTCTTAAATCAACCAAATCAAAATCAGTATTTGAAGCATTATCCAAATGCCAAGGAATGCCCAACATTAGCTAAAATTTGAGCTGAGGCCAGGTGCAGTGGTTCATGCCTGTAATTCCAGCACTTTCAGAGGCTGAGGTGGGCGGATCACGAGGTCAGGAGTTCAAGACCAGTCTGGCCAACACAGTGAAACCCTGTCTCTACTAAACATACAAAAAATTAGCCAGATGTGGTGGTGTGTGCCTGTAATCCCAATTACTTGGGAGGCTGAGGCAGGAGAATTGCATGAACACAAGAGGCAGAGATTGCAGTGTGCCAAAATCGCACCACTGCACTCCAGCCCAGGCAACAATACAAGACTCCATCTCAAAAAAAAAAAAAAAATTGAGCTGAAAAGGTCAAAAAGCAGTAACAATGCAGAGAGTCATGTAGACTCCATAAGGTTATTACACTATGAACTTTTTTTTTGTTTAGAGGAATATGTCAGCCCTGGACACACTGGACTATTAACTCTATAAAACCATATAAGTCAGACCTAGATCAAAATATCCAAGTTAAGTTCTAATGAAAAAAATTGTCATTTAAAAATAAAGTTTAAAGAAAATAATGCCTCCTTCACATAGTATTATACCATATGTACATTTTAAAGAGTTGTCATTTTCATTAACACAAATTTTTAATAGACTAAATGTGGCATATTAATATAAGAGATAAATATGGAATCTTAGTAGTGATTCAACTCACATTATTGTAGAGATGAGAGATGGAAGAAAAGAGGCAAGAGATAGAAGAAAAAACATAGTAACACACAGACACATAGGAACAAATAGATAACCAACAAGGAAAACATCAATTAAACAACACGAGAGGAAGGTTCAAGTGAACAAAAGTTTAAACGTGCTCAGTCTCGTATGAAAGATTGAACAAGTAAAATGAAGGGGAATTCCAAGCAGTAGGCAAATATAACCTCATGACAAAGTTACAGAAGTGTGAGAAAGCACAGACTGTTTGGGAAGTTTCTGGGTAATCTGGTATGGATCACTTGATCCATACATAGAGAAGAATAGTAGTAAGAGACAAATTTGGAAAGGTAGGTAGAGGTCAGACTCATCCTATTCTAAAGACAGTGGGGATCAACTGAAGGATTTTAAGCAAGGATGAACCCACATTAGGCAGAATCAAACATGCAATCTAAGAGAATTGGTTAAGAAGTTGTTATAGTAATGTGAGAGAGTAATAAATACGAACTATGGCTGTGAAGGCTGGGATGGAGAATAGGGGGAAAAGGTGAAAGAATATTAAGAAGGCAGAATCCATAGGACTTAATGACTGACTGGATATGTGCAATCAGCAAGAAGACGGAGTAGAAATCTGTGAATATTTGAGAAGAACAGTTTAGTTTAAGCAGGCGTCATTTTTTGAAGACTACTATTGGCATTTCTCAGATTCTACACTGACATGAGTTAAATAATTTTTGGAAAGCTTCATGTAACATGTTTCAGGGACCTTTTATCATCTTAAGAAAACCTATACTTTTGTGGAAGACTTCTAGATCATATTTTTAAGGTATTACTGAAAGAATAAATTCACTTCCGAGATGTAAGAGAGACCTGCTCTGTATTAAAATATAGACAATTACTAATTTACCAATCACTAGACCCACAATCAGTTCATGAATATAAAGAGAATTATGGCTAATGTTCTACCCTGAGCTGCTAGGGCTTTCATCCTAACTATTCCACGAATTCTACTGTCTTGTCCCTGTTAAAATTGAGCTGTTTGTAATACATCAAATACAATATGGGTTAAATAATCTACTTGTTTGTTTTATGGAGGGCATAAGAAAAATAATCACCGATTACTCTGAAGCAATGCAACTAAGAATGTTAACAAACTTTAGAAACACAACTCATTTGCGATCTGGTGTTGCTCGTATAGTTAATGCTTAGTTATTATAGTAAAATCAGAGAATTTCAAACTTTGGAAAACTAAGACACCTCTCTTGACCTTCAGCTCCTACAAAGTATCAAAAGGAGGGAAAGGAGCAAATGTATCTACAGTAGCTCTACAGCTAAATAAACTCCAAAGCAGTACATGTCTTCAATTATGTATATTATCTGTTAATAATAATTTCAATAGCTTTTTAACTCTTTTGTACTAAATTCTTATATTACATTCAAAGATCAAAAATAAAACAAATACTTCATTTTCCAACTGTATTTCCACCATGTTTAGATGGTATTTTTCTCTTCTTTATATTCATTTAATTGCAACATAATGACTTGAATAAACATATAAATAAAATTTTTTAGAGTCATTTAGGGAAACATAAATAATTACAAACCTTATAAGTGTTTAGACTCCATTTTCTAACAAGTTCTAACTTTTCCATTGCAGGATTTTTAATTTCATCTGCTAGAATAACTGGTCCACCTTTTGTCTGTGTTCTCTGGCCACCTGCAAGATAACAAAAGATAAAAACACAATCCGGATAAAGACAAGTAGGGAAAGAAAATAAAACACTGACATTGTTCAAATTAAAATACTTATGCATCTAAAAACACAAAAAAGGTTCCCACTAAGTAAAGAAGTAGAACTTCCTGGAATTGCTGAGGACAGTTCCCTAATTACTTAGAGAACATTTCTGTCCATTAAACACAAATGCCATGTGACTTATTTGCCTTCTTTAAACAAACAAAAAACAAACCTGCTGCAATTAGCCTTATTTTCTAGATAAGCTGCCGTTTACTTCAAGAAAAAATAAAATTTCCACAACTAATCTTATACTCTAATGATGCTAAAAAGGAAGTATTTTGGTCAATAAAAATCTAAAGGCCACGTATTCCCCACAGTGATCTTTCACTGTAATAGGTAGACTAGAACAATAGAATGTTGCTATAATTTTGGAGAATTTGAAAGCTGGGTTGAAATAAGACCTACACTGTACCTCTTTTTTCTCAAGAGACCACACACAAAAAAGCAAGAAAACCAAAAAGAGCCATATGAATAAAGAAGCAGTGTAAAAGTCTTGACAATGTACTCTTCCAACAATTAAGAATTTATGATATGTAAGCAACTCTACAACTATACAGTTCCCAACAGTAAAATATTTTTCACAGCTGAAATAGTTTTCATAGCTGAAATATTTTTCATTTCAATAGTTTCTATCCCAAAACATTAGTAGCGTAAATGTTTAAGAACATTTCTAATAATTTTAAAAGAATAATGAAATAAAAAAGAAAAATTAGAATCAGCAAAAATTTCTTCTCCAACTTATTCCTATAGCCTGATCAACTTTTCCCATTGGTATATTAAATTAGAACACATTTAAGAATTTAAAAAATTCCCACAAAACAAAATGTAAATGTTAACATTTCATATAAGAAATATGGAGTTCATTTTTATAGTCCAGTAACAGTAAAGTGCAGAGCAAATTCAGTGTGAAGACACTGATTTTCTCAAATATTTTTCATTGGGTATAACTGGTAAATTAATAGTATTGTGTTGCGATCTGCAAACTATTTGTAAGTTAAAGACAAGACCCTTTTCCACTTAACCCATTCTTTTTTTTTTTTTTTTTTTTTTTCGAGATGGAGTCTCACTCTGTTGACCAGGCTGGAGTGCAGTGGCACGATCTCAGTTCACTGCAACCTCCGCCTCCCACGTTCAAGCAATTCTCTTGCCTCAGCTTCCTGAGTAGCTGGGATTACAGGCACGCCTCACCACGCCTGGCTAATTTTTGTATTTTTAGTAGAAACGGGGTTTCACCATGTTGGTCAGGCTGGTTTCCATCTCCTGACCTCATAATCCGCCCGCCTCAGCCTCCCAAAGAGCTGGGATTACAGATGTGAGCCACCGCGCCCGAACTTAACCCATTCTTAAAAACAACCAACCTAATTGTTGAAGGTTGTTTTTTCCTTAACTGAAAATAGAAGGCAGAGCTGCAAAGATAAGAGTTTAGATCAAATGGTAAACTTATAGTCTCCAGAGCAAAGAAAGAATGATTTAAAACAAATTTTATAATGTTTTAATTTTAAAACGGATTAAGTTTCAGGTATGAGACATAGCCTAATTACTCTGAAAAGGCAGAAAGATAGGATATAGTTAGAAAAATTATTTCCTTTATTGTTAATAAGGCAGCCACTAAAAAAGTCAGAATAACACACACCTAAGAATAAAAAGCAAGTGATTATGAAACTAAGTAAATTAGTTTAGCTTCAGCAGTAGCAAGAAGGGCTTTATCCAATCAGTGCAGTGAATACCTGCGGGAACAATTAAATCACTTCCTTGTTGAGCCAGTCGACTAGCTGCAACTCTGCTAGGAGACATAACAGATGGCAATGGCGGTGCTGGGGAACCTGAAAAGGTAGACATTTTAACTGTGAGAATCCTTTTCCTCCTCCACATACTGTACATTTTGAATATAGGGTTACTGATATTTCCTTTAAAATATTCAAACACTAATTGGAATTAATATATTTGCTTTCTTTCAGGGAAAGATTAATAATAAATGCTACCAGGCTCATTTTTTATATAAACTTTTCATCAAACTATCAGAACTAAACTACGTAATTATATGATGAAATCTGGTAAGACAACATCTAAACAGGATTTTAACTGAACTCTGCTATTTCCAAAATCAGTTAACAGAATGTGAACACAGTCCCATAGTTAGATAATTTAAAGCTTCAGTAAATATTTAATAACTTGCTACTCTCATATATGAAGGAAAAGCTTTTCAAGTAAAAATTCAAAGGTATGTAAGGGATATTAAAACATGCTTTCATATCTCTTATAAGAAATATGAATGAATTATATATAGCCTTCACAGGAATTGTAGCCAAAAATTTTCAAATCATAAATCAAATGTCACATAGTGTATCTCATTGCTATTCATCATGTGGATGTAGGGGACCTTCATCAATTTACCTGGATGCTTGTTAGAAATGCAAAATCTCAGTCCCTGCCCCATACCTACTGAACCCAAACCTGCATTTTCATAAGAATTCCCAGTTGATTTGTATGTACTTTGAAATTTGAGAGGTGCTGATGTAGAGTATTTTTGGACATTATAAGAATTACTTTTGGAGCTTTTAAAACATACCTGGGATACTCCACAAGATCTACTGATTATCAGTGAAATAGGCACGTATTGTTTTGCAAAAGCCACTCAAGATGATTCTCAAACACAGCCAAGTTTGAGAACCAGAGGAAAAACACAATTTTTAAATAAACACAACTAAGTTTTGAATTCTAACACTGAGTTTAAAATTCTGGCTCCATCTACCACATGATATCAAGAGCACCCTGGCAAATTAGTAAACATCTCTGAGCCTTAATTATCTACAGAGTAGGAAATACTGACTACTGGCTGGGAGTAGTGGGTCATGCCTATAATCCCAGCACTTTGGTAGGCCGAAGCAAGTGGATCACTTGAGCTCAGGAGTTCAAGACCAGTGTGGACAACATGGCAAAACTCCATCTTGCCAGGCATGGTGGCACATGCCTGCAGTCCCAGCTACCCAGAGGTTGAGGTGGGAGAACTCCTTGAGCCCTGGAGGTGGAGGCTGCAGTCAGCTGAGATCACGCCACTGTTCTCCAACCTGAGTGACAGAGCCAGACCCTGTCTCAATCAAAAGAAAAAAAAGAAAAGAAAGAAACACTGACTACCCAACATTGTTGCTAATGTTGAACATTAAACAAAAAGAGGGAGTGATAGTTTTTAAAACTGAAAAAAAATTAAAGTCCTTCCATGTTTAACTGAGAATATTTTAATGTCTATAATGTACTTCGATTTCAATTACACTCATCCTCATTTCTCTGGAAAAAATATAATGCATCAAGTTCATAATTAAATTTTCTAATAAGAATCATCTACTTTCTTTACTTACTATTAGTAATAATTAGTCCTATCCCATATGTACTAAATTCTGATGTAGAAGCAGTCATCAGTTCTAACAGTATAAAATATACCCTAATTTGGACTAGATCTCACATTAAAATTCAAACATGAAATAGGCCTAAAAAGGCTGTTGTTAACTTTCAAAGTGAGAGATATTTGTCTCTTTAAATCTGTTCAATTATAAAATTTAAAACCAGAAGGGATGATGGAAATCAACTAGTCTAAACTCTCACATTAAACTGTAAGATAAATGATAAAACTCAGAGGTTAAAATAGTTTCTTATTAAGAGACTCAGATGTTCTGAACACCATAATATCTCCATTATTAAATTCAACACAGAAATCACTAGTCTACATGTTACTTGCTAAGTTGGAAGGCATTTTAATAGGTTATCCAGTCCAATTACCATTTTAAATAAAGACTGTATCTCTACTGTCCAAGGAATAGGGATTCTAAAATAAGAAAGTATAAAATAAAAGACGACTACTGAACTTCCATGTCTTGACCCCAGAAACAGAGCTCTATTGTTCTAGTTATTACGGTTTATTAATCTTGCTTAAGAAATAATACCATGGTATTACATGAGATGTGTATAATATATATAACAAATGATATGTAACTTTCCAAAGTAAAATAGCAAATGATGTAGTGTGGATATAACTGGGACTTCAGCTTTTTTGATTTACGTTCAAAGGTAATTATCCCTTCTCTGTTATCTTTAATATTTTAACCCTTTAAACAATTGTTACTAAAATCATTCACTAATACCAAATAAAAAATAACTCAATAATACAGGATCTTGCTAATTGACTAAATTTGGGGAATCAGATCTATTTCATCTCAACAACAAAAATCTAAGAAGATGAATACATATGTGATACCTCCTTTAAAACAAAACCCTGGTACCAAGTACACTTTACTCTTATGAGCTTTGATTTATTCATGATTTCCACTATTACTGATTCTGCAACATCTTTGGTGTTAGGTAGATTTCAATATTTGTTGTTTTTAAGCTGAATTTAAGTGTAACTTCTACATTTGCTCTAGAAAGATAAAGTAGATGGTTAATACTCTTCTTATTAACGGTTTAAGTAATAAAAAGTCATATTTATCATTTAGTCATCTCTCCAGAAAGCCAACACAGCCCTAATTCCTTTAACATTTTTTCCGTAAGGCCTATTTGCCAAATTGTTATCGTTGTATGCTGTTCTCATGTTCATTCCAATTTACTTACATATATCTTAAAACAACCACAACTTTCCAACAAATGCTCAACTAATTTAAGTATAGCAGCAGAATGATTATCTTAATATCCTAATCAGCAATACAGTTTGGATTTTAAAATGTTTTATAGACTCAGTTCAGAAAGACATATATTACTGCCATTATCATGAAATATATTTTCTTATTCCAGTTGGAAGGATTAGGATGTATCTATAAGCAAGTGAAATTGATGGGCATTTTAATGCTCATGTATATCAGTTTATAATGGCCAATTGATTTCAATTATTGTAAAATACCATTTCACTTAAAAGGAAAAATGTCAGCTAAATAATTTCATTTAAAATATCTTAATAATAAAATTAGTTTTTTATTCTATGTTAAATTTAAATTTTAGAATTGGTGATTAGTTGAAAAATGGTGCCAAATTATGCAAAGTAAGCCTTATATTTCTAAACACTCATAGTTTTAGATACTTAGTGAGCCCTTCCAAATTCAGAGTTATCCCTGATATAAGAATGCCATGATGCTTCTGAATGATCACTAAGACACTGATGTGACTGCTCCCTTTATTTTTCTAAACATAAGAATGAAAAGAGAAAAAAAATGATGTCAGTAGAAAGTCCATTCATTTCACAGCCTAAAATAGAGGATATTATACTGGATTATCCTAAATGTCTATTTCCAGGACCCACGTAGCAAAGAATATACTTCAAAATCTAAATTGTTCTTTGAAAAAAGTATTGGCCAATTAGACAATAAAAAATAAAGAATACTAATATCTGCAAGAGGGCTATGGTTTACAAAGGCATGGATATAACTGTTTCTTCATTTTGTAAAACTATAATGCAGTATTAGAATTAATATACTTAATTGAACAAACTGAACATATAACTATAGCTGTTGGTTTACAGCACCGTCCGAAAATCTATTTCCCACATCCAAATGTTTACATGGCTTTACTTTCACTTGAGTAAAAAAAAAGTTTAAAAAAGTTATTACAAGTAAAAGCATTAAGAAAGGAGGCACTATTTTCCTATTAAAAACAGACATACATGAGATGTGTGCAGAAAGAGTTAACATAGCAGATCTAACTGCCTATCCTTAGAAAGGCTGGCATGCAGGAACTTGAATTTTGGGAGGATTCCCTCCATCGCCAGAATGATTACGAGTGCCTCACTGTACTTAAGCGGTTTACCTGCAATGTGGTTTATGCTGCTTACCTGCTTTCCTTCTGGAAGTCTAGAATCTTAGTATGTAACAGACAGAGAAACCTATGTGATCAGCCCCCAGTAAAAATCCCAAGCATGGAATTTCTAAATGAGCTTCCCCAGTTAGCAAAATTTCACATACGTTGTCAGTCTCACTGCTGGAGGAATTAAGCAATTGCTGTGTAATTAAGCTGGAAGAAGACGCTTGGAAGCTTATGCTTAGTTTTCCTCAGACTTAGTCTATACACCTTTTGCCTTAACTGACTGTGCTTGCTACTCTCATTATGATAAATCATAGCTATGAGTGTCACTGTGCAAGTCCTGTGAGATCTCCTAGCAAATTTCTGACTTGGTTAAAGGAACGCTTAAAGAATATTAATTTGGCAGACATGTAAGCACAGCTTGGAAGAGTCAGAAATTGAAGCAAGATCAATCATAAGATAATCACTATATCTCAGGTATTCAACAGCTACAGTTTAGAATAGAGAAGTGGCCAAAATAATGGAGAGAAGGACACTGCATGTTCTCACTAATAGGCGGGTGCTGAACAATGAGAACACACGGACACAGAGAGGGGAGCATCACACACTGAGGTCTGTTGGGACAGGACTAGGGGAGGAACAGTGGTGGTAGGGAGTTGGGGAGGGATAACATGGGGAGAAATGCCAGATATAGGTGATGGGGATGGAGGCAGCAAACCACATTGCCATGTATGTACCCATGCAACAATCCTGCATATGCTTCACATGTACCCCAGAACCTAAAATGCAATAAAATACATATTTAAAAAAATGGAGAGAAGGGATGAAATTTAGGAATAATTAAGAGTAATTAAAATACAAACTTTTAATGAGTGTGGTCCTGGAAACCTACTACATAACATGTAAAAAGTTCATTTTTCTATTTGCTTTGAAATAAGGTATATGTATTTATAAAAATCAACACTGATTTATAGTTATAAATTTCATGGTTACAAGTTAAAATCTACATTTATATTTCTGATATAATTTTTGTTTTTATTTCAGTTTTTACAACCAAATCTTAAATAATCACCAGTGATATTATGCACATTGATCTGTTTATGTAAAGAAGAAGATTAAAATAATTCCTGTATTACTTAAATTTATGAGTAAAAGGATTATGTTTATAATCAATGTTTTATCACAGAATGAAAGGGCTTCATTCTTGTGCTTTATTAATAAAGGTAGCATTTGGTGAATTTCTCCCATCCTCCATCCCAGCCATCTTTACAAATACATGGGCTCCTACCTTGAAAGGCTCCTGCTTCAACAACTCCCTCTTTGCTACTGTCAAAGCCATGAGATGTAATTTGGGTTTCTGAGAGTCCAAGTCCAGATGGTAATGAATGCTTCAAATCCTTAGCAAGATTTAAATAAAAGAAAAAAATTTTGTAAAAAATCCCACATCACATAACGGTTCAGGATAACTGTATCCTTTTATCATATCTTAAACTATTTTTCTCTCTGCTATGCAGTGTTCCCTTATGCTGCCATTGCATGCTATAATGATGTATAATCAGCAGCAAATACAGCAAGATTTGTATTAAGTGGTATTGTGTACATCACATACAATACACTTTCATCATTCTGTAACCAAGCAGCACGCAGATAATAAAATTCAATGTAAAAATTTTAATCTTACTGATACATCAGGAAAATTATTTTAATGAACAAAATTAAGATCATTAAATTGCCATGTCTAATACGTAAAAGTTGACTGGCATCTAATATAATCACGATGAGCCTGGAGAATGCTCAGTATAAACAAATCATTCACTTGCCATGTTAATTTCTCTTCCATTTCAACAGGGCTTCTCTGACTTCAATCAGGGTGTAGTAAACAAATCTGTATTTGGATTTACATTGCACAATGATAATAGTTAACCTAACTGCAAATTAGCTTATAACAGAATCTTACTGTAATAAAAATAACATTTAATACTGAGTCTTAAGAGCTTAAAAAAATATAGAAAGTCAAAAAGCACAATTTTTTTTTTTTTAAGGCACAATCCTACTTAAGTATATTCTAATATATTTTTTTTCCAGAACCTTGTAAATTAAATCTCAGGGCTTAGTAATAATTAGGCAAAAAGGCCAAGTAAAACTATAAAATCAACAAGAAGTAAAGCTGAGCTTCACGCGATTCAACAATATATTATTAATAATGCAAACTTAAATCTGGCCTATCCACATGACTAGAACTTCAGAAAAATCAAACTGAAATGAGGTAAGGCATTACATCTAAAATAAAATCACTTTACTGTTTATTAAATTTTCATGGGAATTTCAGGGCTATGACAAGTTATAAGTAAATGCAGCCAGTAAGCTAAATTTTTAGACTGATCACAGTTTAAGATAGCAGATTTTAGATCATAAACATATATAACTAGTGTTATATATTTTTTCTAATCCATTACGCCTTTTCTTGATATAATGGTAACGTACAGAGTCTATAGCAGGGGGTCCAGGATATTTCTCCAGAGACGGAGTTATACTTTTTTATTTACCTAGGTCAAGACATGAACATCTTAATTAGTAGGTGAAGGCAATATGCAATCAAAGAGGAAAGTATGTAACAATTTATAATTTAGTTAAGAATTCAGAAGTGAGAATGATCAGTGTGCATCAAATAGAAGAAAAGGCTTAATGGAAGAGATGGATTCTAAGCTGCATCAATGACCAACATGAATGATATGGAATGCTGGAAGGATGGAATAGGGTGAGGAAGGGTTCATCTTCAACCTAGTAGAAAAACTTTGTGGGGAAGGGGTGGGTAGGACTGAGCAGTCATCACCATGTTATTGGGATGGCATGGAGGCCAGCAACTAGGCTCCCATGGCCAACGTCTCTAAAGGTCTATGTTGAGAGATAGAAATAAATGAGTTAGAAACTTTTGAGTAACAAGTTTACTTGATTTGGTTAAAGGATTATTTAAAGAGTATTAATATGGCAAACATGTAAGAACAGCTTGGAAGAATTAGAAACTGAGGCAACATCAATCATAAGATATTACTTAGAATATACTTAACTGTATCTCAAGTATTCAATGGCTACAGTTTAGGATAGGGAGGTGGCCAAAAGAATGGAGAGAAGGGATGAAATTTAGGAATAATTAAGAGTAATTAAAATATAAACTTTTAATAAAAATTCAAGGTATAGCCATATGTCAGTACAATAAGGTGGGATAGCTAAGATAATTTATACTACTGAAATAAGAAGCCCTTTCAGAAGCTAATTTCCATAATCATGAACCAAAATGCAAAGGGATTATTAAATCACTAGCCAAGATGATTTGATCTCAAACAATTATATCTACTGTGCTAATGAAGTAAAAATAGTGTAGGGGCAAGTTAAGTGACATTTATGTTGTATAATATAACTTAAACACACTATTTTGGAATGTTTGCTTAAGAAGTTTCCATGTGGATTCTAATGTTCTCCTAAATGTACTCTTTAATTGTACTTGATGTTTTTCTTGACCAATGTATAAGTAATCTTCAATTTTCTTTTCTTCCTAAAGTTTTTCACTATTTTCAATGTGGAACTTATTAAATTGCACAACTCTGTAGAAATACAGTAAGGATGACTAGGTTCATCATCCCTATACTTCTGAGAAAAGGTATATGCTATAAATATACCTTTTATATGAAAATAGATAGCTATACAGAATTGAAACAAAACAGCTCCTAAAGACGAACAGAATCTTCTAGGTGCTAGGCCATGGAGTCATGCTTTTCTCTACTTTGTATCATCTCTGTAGGAATCTCTGGGACTATACTATGATTAGGTACCCAGGTCCAGAGCATGCTGAATCTCTATCACTAAAATTCTTTAGTTAACCATGAACATTTATCAGAATACATGATTTTAAATTAAATTCATAGGAATTAATATAATTTCCATTCTGAAATGTCCAGGTTTACATTGCTTAAAACTACTCTTAGATATTTTTACTACAGCATTTTAAAAACTGAAGTATAAAAAAGCCAATTTGGCTCAATTCAATTAAAAATAGTTCTTAAAATTCCTTCCAGATCCTAACATCTAAGAATGAAGAAACAAATACCCATATACCAACTTCCTGCTGTTAATAACATTTGTGTCTATTAAATCTAAATCTAAAAATATACCTTGTCATAAGTATCTTTGCTTAGTTTTAGCCATTTTAGTTTTATACATTCAATCTTAAATCTCCAATTTTGCAGCTTGGTTTCCTTTTTCTAGTTAAACAAGTATCTGTCCAGTTACTAATTTGTTACTGGAAATAAATTAAATGGAGGGGACTGTGTCTGGGAATGGCTCCTTTACCCTGTAGTTCTTGACCCTGGGATTTCATCACACTGTCAGTGAGATGTGTGTAAAGTGATTTGTAACTAATAGTTGAAAGCAAAACATGTATCAACTTCAGTGTGTATTTATATTACAGTATGCTCAAGATAATCTCTATGACTTACTCTTTCGTTGCATTTCAGTATGCTTTAAGGACTGAGAGATACAGGGTGAAGTTTCAGAAAGCAAACAAAATTGTTTACCACTTTGGATATCAGTGAAAATGTCTGAGAATTGGTTCTGGTTTCAGATGCATCTATTATTTCAAAAAATAATAATTAGCAACCATTTGATGAGGCAGTTTGATGTAATGGATGCAATGTGAGCTCTGAAGTTAGGTGAGATAAACCTGAGTTTGAATCCTGGCTCCAGTCACTTAATGGCTCTATAACCCCAGGCAAGTAGTCTGAGTTGCTGAGTTTCTTGACTGTAAAATGATAATGTTAAAGGATAATAATTCTTACCTCAAAGACAACATACAAAAAGTATACTAAAACATCTGATACTTCAAGTATTAATGTCTTTCTCCTTCATCCCAATTTTTAAACAGAACTCTTCTGGAGACTAGAAATTGGAATGATGAAAAATTATTTTCTTATATTTAAAACTGACCATTATATGTAAGAATGTGTTTTCAGATCACTTAGGAGGAATGATTTTTATTTTTTGAGTGACAAAGTCATGAAATTATAAGCATTCTCATCCTTAGTATTATGTTTACAATGCCATCTTAATTATATTAGAGCATGCCCATATGTGACACTAACCATATAATTAACTTCTGATATCCAGTGACTTTAAACAGAGCAACTAGACAGAAGTTACAAGTCCAAGAGATGTTTTAAAATGTACACAACAATACCTTCAGTTGAAATAGAGTTTCTGAGTACGGAGGGAGAGACCAAAAAATGTGGGAAAAAAGACATGCTTTAAAGGGAAGGTGATGAGTTTGTTACTAAAAGTAAGGAATATACAGAGAACAAACCAAAAAAAACCGGAGGGAAAACCCAGCTGGAAGATCATTAAAAATAAGTACTTTCAGTAGTGATAGGAATGTTTTCATAAACCAAGAAATGCTGCTAACGAGAGTTTGAAAGGTAAGCTAGTGTTTGAAACAGTCATTGGAACACTTGCGAAAATTCTCAAAAGACAAGCTTGGGTATTCTGAAGAACATCACTCTATATTCAATAAGTGAGGCATCTGAGGAATTCTAGACCCCAAGAATTATGATTGGTTACCTATTGTACATCAAATCCGAATCAAACTCTTTCTTTCAAAGGGATAAACTGGTCAGGCATGGTGGCTCACACCTATAATCCCAGCACTTCGGGAGGCCGAGACGAAAGGATTTGAGCTCAGGAATTTGAGACCGGCTTAGGCAACATGGCAAAACCCCAACTCTAAAAAAATACAAAAATGCAGCTGGGCATGGTGACATGCATCTGTAGTCCCAGCTACCTGGGAGGCTGAGGTGGAAGGATGGCTTGAGCCCAAAAGACAGAGGTTGCAGTGAGCCAATTTGTGGGACTGCCCTACAGACCGGGCAGCAGAATAAGACCTTGCCTCAAAACAAAAAACAAAAAAACCCACACATACAAAAGAGAGATAAATTAGTAAGTCTCTTATATAGGAAAAGAAAAATATTGGTCTTGGGTCTCAAATGAGTTCTCAAAACATTAGATTTCCAACTAAAAGTCTTTTTTACCATCTGGTTTGAATAAGAGGTTTGGATCAGAGATTCACAGGGCCTGCTCCTTTAAAGACAACATATAACACAGCAATCCAGCCGGGTGTTGGTGGCTCACGCCTGTAATCCTAGCACTTTGGGAGGCCAAGGTGGGTGGATCACCTGAGGTCAGGAGTTCAAGAACATAGCAATCCCCTCCAACACGGACAAACGAACTCCCTATTCCCCTTACCTGTTCTATTTTTCTCATAGCAATGGCCACTAAGTGATATATTATGTGTATATTTATTTTTGTCTCCCCTCACTATACTATAACCTTCATGAGAACAGGGTTGTTGCCT